CTAAATAGGTTTTCCGTGGACAGACCTTTTTTGAGGTAAATATGAATATTGATGAGTTCTAATGTATATGAACTTGTCAGACGGTGTCTCCAGAGTGTAGCACTGTACGTTTTGCATAATAAAATGATTAAAAACTTAAATTATGACTCGTTAATGCATTGTCCATGGAACGCCTGTGGAGGCCCCGTCAAATAAGTTACGGGTGGGCAAGTGACAAGTGACAGCTGTAACTTATTTGACGGGGCCTCCACAGGCTTTCCGTGGACGGTGTATTTTTATGCAAATTAAGCCATTGCACTGCTGGACGTCATTTCCTGAGCACTGTATAGCTGTTTTTTCTCAATAAAATCATCGTATTTATGACATATGACCTATTAATGCATTGTCCACAGAAAGCCTGTGGAGGCCCCGTCAAATAAGTTATGGGTGGGCAAGTGACAAGTGACAGCTGTAACTTATTTGATGGGGCCTCCACAGGCTTTCCGTGGACAGTGCATTTTTATGCAAATTAAGCTATTTATATATATACACATTCACATTTATAAATTCAATATATATATTATTTAATTTACATTTAGTTTGTTGAAGTATTAAAATAACTTACATTTTGTTGAAGTAATAAAATAACACAAATAAAATTAAATAAAATTAAAACTTAATGATGGACCTAAAAAGACATAATAAATACAGACATCATTTAACTCAAATTAAAATGAATAACAAATACAAATAATACAAATCAAACGACAGCATTCCAGTATATCAGTAATCTAAAATCTAAAGTGTAGAATAAATTCCTTTAAAATGCACTTTATTTTCAGGTAAGTGTGGAGTAAATTACTTTAAAATATACTCCATTTTCAGGTAAGTGTAGAATAAATTACTTTAAAATGCACTCCATTTTCAGGTAAGTGTAGAATAAATTACTTTAAAATTCACTCCATTTTCAGGTAAGTGTAGAATAAATTTCTTTAAAATGCACTCAATTTTCAGGTAAGTGTAGAATAAATTACTTTAAAATGCACTCCATTGTCAGGTAAGTGTAGAATAAATTACTTTAAAATGCACTCCATTTTCAGGTAAGTGTAGAATAAATTACTTTAAAATGCACTAAGTGTAAAATAAATTACTTTAAAATGCACTCCATTTTCAGGTAAGTGTAGAATACATTTCTTTAAAATGCACTCCATTTTCAGGTAAGTGTAGAATAAATTACTTTAAAATGCACTCCATTTTCAGGTAAGTGTAGAATAAATTTCTTTAAAATGCACTCAATTTTCAGGTAAGTGTAGAATAAATTACTTTAAAATGCACTCCATTTTTCATAAATTACTTTAAAATGCACTCCATTTTCAGGTAAGTGTAGAGTTAATTACTTTAAAATGCACTCCATTTTCAGGTAAGTGTAGAATAAATTACTTTAAAATGCACTTCATTTTCAGGTAAGTGTAGAGTAAATTACTTTAAAATGCACTCCATTGCATTTGAAATTGAACCAAGTCTTTATACACCCTGTGTGAGGGACCCAGTCATTCAACACCAGTCCACTAACCTCTGAACATCTCCTTGCCTGTGCTCTTTTGTGCTAATTTTGATTGCCAAGATGTCTGTGGAGACATGTCCGCTGTGCATGCGAATGTATGCCCGTCTCAGCCAGCACCTTGTTATCATCCACAAGGTCGAAAACAAGGAGGAGAGGAAACTGCTGCTGGCCATCGAGTCAGGCCGCATCAACGCCCGGGCAGGCCACTGCCCGATTCCAGGATGTGGCAAGTTTTCTAACAGACTTGACCGCCATATTCGCACCCACAGTGAAATCTCAGCAGTGGGGCAGGATGATGCTCTCCTCAAATGCAAGAGGAGAGTGATCATCCAAAAGCTGATCGCCCTGAGGGCCTCCAACCCAGCCATCCCAATGGTTTCCACGCTGGACCTGGAGGAGTACCAGGAGCTAGAGGAACCCGACGTGCCACCTTGCAAAAAGGATCTAGAGGAAGAGCAGTGCATGAACACAGGCTGTAAGCAGCAAAAAGAATTCCTCAGATCCCAGGTGATGGACCTCAACAAGCAAGTAGACATTCTTACTGAGAGTTTGAAGAACGTCACCAGGCGCTACCGAATCCTTAACAGGAGGTCGGTTCCTTTGGGCGCTGTTCGTACAGGTCAGGTGGCACGAAAGCTCCTCTCCTCTCTCGGGCCAGAAGAAAAGGAGGACAACCCCAAGGAAGAGGTCTTAGAGGCTGATGTCCAGCCCTTTATGCCCGGTGAGCCCTGGACTAGTCAGCAGCCCACAGTCGGAGGCGAGGAGCCCTCCACCTGCGACGAGCAGCCCTCCATCAGTGACGAGATGCCCTCCACATCTCTGGAGCCACGGGAAAAAAGCCCCCTGCACTATCCCGATCACGTGTCGGTTCTGAGTGAGTCTGACACTTCTCTTGCCGTTATTTATTTAATTTTTTTGCAAAATGCTGTGATAAATATGACTTTGCTCTTCCTCTTTTGACTTTTGTGTGCAGACGAGATCCTGGAGGAATACAGGCGGCACCAGCTAGGCCCGGATCCCACCCCCAAACTGAGGGAAAACGTCGGAGGTCATATTTACAGGATAAAGAAGTTTATTGCCTTTATGGCCGAGGGCAAGAGCAGGCTGTCGGACTTCTGTTTTCTAAACAACACCGCCAATATACACGCGTGAGTAGTGTTTACTGTTTTTGGCTAGGTGTCATTAAAGTTTATTTTTCCTTTAACCAGGGACTTCTTGTCTTCTTGCAGTTGGATCAGCTCCCTCCGAAAGGCAAACATGACGCCGACGACCATACAGCACTATGCGGTGAATGTCGGCTGCTTCATTAAATACATTGCTGAAACCCCTCCGCCGTCATGCCGCCTGTCAAAAAACGCCTTGATCGGTCTTCGGCGCGAAATGCTGAGTGTGCGCAAGTCGTTGAAGAGAGGCGTGGCCATGCACCGGACTTCGGTGAGAGCCAAAAAGGAGGTTCGGGTCATCGCCAAGGCCACCCTTTTAAAGTGCCGGACCCAGGCGGCGCAGGCCATCCCGGAGTTATTGAGTAAGTAGTCTTACCTTCGCTTTGACTCAGTGTACTTATCTGCTGTTGACTGTAGAACGGAAACCTTGACGTTTTGCTTTCTCCTGTCCGTAGCCCTCCTGGAGAATGACCCAACACAGAAGATACTGTGGCAGTTTTACGGGCACTTTGCGGCACTACTTTCTTCAATCTATGGCCACAGAGGGGGTGTATTTCAGAACATAACATTCCAGGAGGTGCTGACGGCCCAGAAATCAACATCTCAGAAGGCATATCTCATTAATGTGAGCATCTGACTTGCTTTTCATACCTCTGCTTGATTTGTTTGTTGCCTCTTCTGAGTGTCTTGTGTGGTTTCTGGTGTGTCCACAGGTGACCAGCCACAAGACAAATCAGGCATTTGGTCCAGCCCAAATTGCCCTGACCGAGGAGGAGTACCGCTGGGTACAGAGATTCTTCGGGCTGAAAGACAAGCTGCCAGGCAGGGCCGATGCAAAGTATTTGTTTTTCACATCCACGCTGAACCCCTGCAAAAATTTAAATAATTATTTCCAGGACGCGTGGAAGTCCATGGGCCTGCCTGGCTGCCCCACCTTCACTGACGTTCGGACCTCCATCGCCAGCCACGTAAGTAACTAACAGTAAAATCTATTTAATCATAAATTATGACCTATTAATGCATTGTCCACGGAAAGCCTGTTGAGGCCCCGTGAAATAAGTTACATGTGTCAATTGACCACCTGTAACTTCTTTGATGGGGCCTTCACAGGATTTCCGTGGACAGACTTTTTTAAGCTAATTATGAATACTGATGAGTTGTAATGTGCATTTAACTGTTATGCTATGTTCACTGTGTACTGTACTGAATCTTTGGTAGCCTTCAGAATGGCGCTTGTTTTACTCTCTTTCTCTGTCTTTCCAGGCTAAGTTCACACACTCCAGTGAAGACAGCATGAAAATCTCTAAATTCATGTGCCACGATGTCAGGACAGCAGACAAGTTTTATGTCACAAACTTGTCTGCCCAGCAGGCCATGGAACACCGCAGGCTCTTTGAGTCCGCCTTGGAGGGTCCCGAGAGGAGCCCACCAAAGCAGCCAACACCTAAAAAACGGAAGCGGCCTGCAAAAAAGTCCAAAGCGTCAAAAAAGCGTACACCAAAATCCCCAAAACTCACATCAGGCAGCACCAGTCAAGAGAAGACGGTGGTCTATTATCAGGAGTCTGGGGCGTTCAGTCCTGGGTCCATCGAGGTAAAATGACATCCTCTAAACAGATTGAGCCTACCGTGTTAGACAGTTTTGCGTGATCATGATCAATTTCTCACCATGTCTTTTTTCTCCTTTGACAGCGTGAAGAAGAGAATCCAGAGGAGACTGGCCAAAGCAAGGTGGAAGGAGGGCAGAAAGGAGCGGCAGAAGGAGGAGCAGAAGGAGGGGAGAAAGCGGAAGGAGGAGCAGAGGGACGAGCAGGAGATGGAGCCCAGTTAACCTCGGAGACATCATCCACATCCCATAAAAGATACCCAACAAGAAGGGGCAAGCTAATGGTGATGTTGACACCAGTTAAGTCTGCTCTATCTAGCAACGTGACCCACAAAATCGTCTCCCCTCTGAAGTTGAAGAAAGCAATATTTTCAGCGAACTCAACCACTTTAATGGGGATGAACCGTCAGAAAAAAGCCTCAGAATTTGTCAAAATAGCCATGGAGCAGCGCCGCAAACACAAAAAGACTTTCTGATCCTGATGTTCTGATGTATATAATTATGATTGTGTGTTTTTTTGTGTGTGTGTGAGGGGAGGGGTGTTGAAGATCATTTAACTTTTTATTATCCATTTTTGCTAACCTTTTTTTCTCTTTTCATTAATCTTTAATAGTCAGCGTTCGTGTGTTCTTGTTTCATATTTTGCAAAAGTTTCAGTAAATTATTTTGTGTTTTTCAACATATAAACTTCTTGTCTGTCATTTTTCCCACACATTTTAGTAACCTAATTATTAATAAAATCATTGCAATCACAAATTATAACGTATTAGTGCATTGTCCACATAAATCAGTGACACAGAGACAAAAAATTATTTACAAATTTTAATGATGAAAGCACTACAGTAAAAATGTAAACAAACGTGTAATTTTCAAGATATGCATGATCATATCAATTAGAAGTTTAAGGACATTTGTAAGCATTTTATTTACATGAAATGTTAATTATCAGTTAATGTTTGACACATTTATTATTAAAGTGACGTGACATGTGGCCATGTATGGTGACCCATACTCGGTATTAGTGCTCTGCATTTAGCCATCCAAAGTGCACACACACAGCAGTGAACACACACACATACACACACACCGTGAACACACGCAAAGAACAGTGGGTAAAACACTAACGCACATTATTTCACGATATAATTGTATTTAAAATGTGTTAAAAAAAATTATTAAACAATCGAACCATATAAAAGCCATAATTGCTTACAATAAAATAGTTAAAATTACAAGAAATATGTACATGTAAAACTTTTTTTTTTAACAATTTAAATGTTTAAAAGTTCCAAAAGTCTGACAGATCGAGTGTAGAGATGTCCGTGTCCTCCTGCAGGAAAGGGTGAACCAAAACATGAAAAAAGAAACACACAAAGCAACATCAACACAGAATAAGCTTGGTGTTATGGTTAAAGAGAAACAACAGAATCTAACAAACATAAACAAACTGATCAACTAAAACTTACTGAATAGATTGGATTATCCTCAAGGAGAGTATCTACCAAAAAAAAAAAAGCAGTTAATGTATTGTTCTTGGAGAAATAATAGAACATAATTATATATTGATCACTTAACACCTACCTAGCAGGCTCATGGTTCCCTGGGGGTTAAGCTCGTTCTCCATTGCTTCTACAATGAAAACACACACACACAAAAAACAATAATTATTTTGCCATCTTGTGAAAAAATACTACTGTGTTATTACATGAAACATTCTAGGCCTACCCAACAACTGGAAACAATCCTCTGAAGGCTGGGAGAGTGCCACCTGGCTCTCCTCTTCTCCTTCATCCAGCCGAGACACCATCGGAACCGACGGATTTTGAGCTCTGAGTTTCTCCAGCTTGTCTATACTGACCATCAGCTGGAGCTTCTTAAGAATTTTTTTCACCTGCTTTGGCTAAAGAAACCGATTATCTTAAAAGATTTATCTAAATATAAATCCACAAAAACAAGCATGCTATTTTCAGATAAGAAAATGCCATTACCAATGGCAAAATTGGATGTGCCGTTTAATGTTCCTGTAATTGATGCTGCACATGGGACATCTGATGTCAAGTAGCCGGACACGCCCCCTGGCCAAGCGCAGCATAATTTGCCTTTCCTCTGGATTGTTCATTTTATGCTGTGACCTCAGGTGGTGCCTCAAGTGGCCAACCTTTGCAGGGCACAGTAGGCATTTTAGCTGCATCTTTAAAATAGAATAGAAATGTTAATAAAGTTAGTTAGCTTTGAACTACTACAAACATGCAAAATAATTGCAATTTTTCAAACTTGTTAAAGAAGAAAATATATTTTATTTGATACTTGACCACCTTAAATATATATTTTATGTATATATATATATATATATATATATATATATATATATATACAACAGATTTGTACTGTTTTCCAAAAACAAAATAAAGTAACACCTAGAGGAAAATTCTTTTGGAACTCTATTATTGATAATATTAAGTGGAAGACTGCTTGGTTAATTCCCTTTAAATATTGTATCAATAACAAAACTAAAGAAATACATTTTAAAATTTTGCATACCATCTACCCTGTTAAATCAATAATTTCAAGATACTCTGATATTGATGATTTATGCTCCTTCTGTAAAAATGAGAAAGAGGTGTTATCACATTTATTTTTGATTGTAAAATTACCCAAAATTTTTGGAAGGAATTGGCAGAATTTATTTTTAATCTAGTAAAGGATAAATACTGTTTTTCTTTAAAGGATATTATTGTGTACTATGAAAACAATGTTAACAAAGGTCTTGAATACATTGTTAATTTATTCATATTACTGGCAAAATTTTATATACATAAACAAAAATGTTTAAATTCATCCCCAATATTTAAGGTATTTTTAGTGGAATTTGATTGTTTTATATCTTCTTTGAAATTGTTAAAAAACAGAAAGTCATTAACATGTTTAAAATATTATGAAATATTATTATTTTCAGTGCCCGTTACTAATTAATATCACACTTTGTATAGCACTGACTGTCTTATGCTATGCTCTGTTTGTTATTTGTTCTATTTTCATTAATAAAAAAAAGAAACTATGCTCCGCTTACTATGTATAATCCATTACGGTTTATTTGTAATTAAGGAAATTTACGTTTCGCCGGATTGCCCTTCAGTCTTCGGTTTACCCGCGCTCATAACATTAGCACAGAATCAGTTGTCCAAAACAACCAGTTCGGTTCAGACGTGCTGTGTCAGTCATAGTAGGCAATCTGTTCAGTAGCTTCACGCTGAATCGCGCATGCGCAGTATCATCAGCTCATCGGTTTTCAAATCGGACATGTCCGAAAGAAACGGTTCTCGGTTCAGTGTACTGGTGATCCGAAAACCGATGCAACCGGTTCTTGACTCGAGAACGAGAACCGCTCCAGCAGTGGGCTTGTATGTTCATTATCCGGCTGCTCTGCTCGTGTTCATCTTCAGTTCTCTCTTCACAGCAGTTCAGTCAGTGTACTGTTTGAGTAAATTAATTACTCCGGGATATTGGTTTATTTCGACTCAGAGGGAGTGTCAGCCATGTTAAAAAAGTGAATAATTTAAGTAATTTGTGGATTAATGCTTACTGGAGACGCGAACCGTTTCAAATGATTCAGTCCGATTTTGTGAACTGGTTCAACCGGTTCACTAAGAAGAACCGGTTAAATTGAACGATTCATTCGCGAACCGGACATCACTAATTCGAGCGTCTTTCACGGAGACACGGAATTAAAATCGCGCCGGTGATGAATTGTTCTGTTGAGGAATGTAGTTTGGCGGTTGGAAAGGCCGTCGGGTATGAGAGTATCTTGTCAGCGTCGAGAATGAATAGTGCTGTCGTTGTTTTTCTCGACGCTGTGGAGAAAGTGAACAGTGTAGTTCAAAGTGGGGTAATAATAAAAGATACGTTTACCCCAGTAATGCCTTTGGTTCAGCCAACAAGGAAGATTACATTGTCAAATGTTCCTCCTTTCATAAAGGACGATTTTATTATTGGCAGAATTATCAAGGCATGGAAAAATCAAATAAAAAAAAATCCCCTAGGTTGTAAATAACCTTTATTGAAACATGTTGTATGTTTTAGACGCCAGGTTCACATTTTTCTGAAAAGTGAAACAGATTAACTTAGTGTGGCCTTTAAATTTAAGATGGATGGATATGACTATTTTGTCTTTGCATCATCTGAAACAATGAAGTGTTTCGGATATGGACAGGAGGGGCACGTAAGATGTGCCTGTCCAGAGAGGACCGATGATGTGACTGTTGTGGATTGAAACAACATGATTTGTTTGTTTCCTTTCTTTTAAGGGATGTTTTATGTGTTATTTGTCTTTTATTAATGGCTGCAGTAAGGGTGGGTTCACTCAATATAAATGGTGCAAGAGATATACAGAAAAGAATACTCTTGTTTTTAATTTTACTTGTTTTAAGCAAAATGCGCTTAATATAGTTTATTTTCCCCTGGAAACAAGACTAAATATCTCAAGTATTCTCAAGCCCGTTCTCAAGCCCGCTCGCGTCGCTCACTCTAGCCCGCCGTGTGTTTCATTGTGAAAGCGAAACTACTTTGTTTGGCCTTCCAAAAGAGGACATGACTAGAAATCAGTGGTTCCCATTCAGTCAGTCACGTTCTACGTTACGTCAGTGACTGATGAATTGGGATCTCGCCAGAGAGCCCAATCACCTTCGAGTGTTAACTAAACAAGCCAATGACAGTTGGCATGCGTGTTTCGCCACACGCACCCCGCCCCGCAGCGCGGGTATAAAAGGAGAGCGCGTGCAAACGCACATCAGCTTTTCGCTTCAGAGCCAAGCATTCTCAGGACGAATCTCCGCGAGTGTTTGGAAGAAACAGTTGGCGTTGGTGTTACGGCGCATCAGCGGGGGTTGCCATTCAGTGCTGCTCATCTTCGGCGTGCTGCAGCTGCCATTCTGCGGCGTCTTTTTAAAGATGGCTTCCCGCTC